TTCAGGATTGTTGATTCTCTGTTTGGCTTAGTTTTTCGGATCTTTGTTGTGGAGGGACGGCGTGGTGTTTCTGCCTAGAGCGCCATCTTGCCGGAAGTCCCTGCTTGCTAGCTTTTAAGACCCCAGACACCACTCACCAAAGTGGGATGCAGAACATTTTCTTGAAAAACTTTGTTATGCCTGTTGACCTAGATGTCCCCTGAAACCATGCTCCCCAGACTCTATTTCTTCTTTGATGTCTCTCCATCTTTCTTCCTCCTTTCTTTCTGTCACTCTGTTTCTTCCGGATTGAGGCAAAGAAGCAGTGACATTCCCAGGGCTGTCTGGGAGAGTGCAGGCTCCCATTACCAAGTCAGTGCAGGGTCCTAGAGGAATCCCTTCCGTTGGGAGTGGGACCTCATGGGGCTTTTGTCTGTTTCTAATGGTGTCCCTGGGTAGTATACACAGCTAACATGGTCTGCTGCCAACCAAAAGGTTGGAGGCTCAAGTTCGCCCAGAGGCACCTTGGAAGAAAAGGCCTGACAATCTGCTTCCAAAAAGTTAGCCATTGAAAACCCTACTCTGTTTTACTCTGACACACATGGGGTCACCATGAGTTGGAGTTGACTCAACAGCAGCTGGTTTTGAATGGGGATTAACAGCTGACCAGAGGGCCTGGGTCTGATGCAGGGGCGTTTAGGTGCATTTAATACTTTCACCTTTTCCTCTTTCGAGCCCTGGGTAGAGTCCTTGGTTCAGCTCGTCTCCCATGCCCTCACCTGGCTTTCCGTTTCCAGGTCCTGACTAATGCTACATTGTTGTTGCTGATGCAACATGGCCACAGCACCTCTGCCAGGTGTTGACTCTGTGTTTGAGAATTCACTGTGGAGGTTTCATGGACTGTTTCAAAAGCCACTCATGACATTTTTAAAGATCTGAAAGCCCTGAGCCAGAAGTGTGTTAACAGATGAGACTGCAGTTCCTTTGGACTTGCTTCTGCAGGATGGCGGAGTCCAGCAAGAAGAGCATCCATCAGGAGCCTTCTCCCATCCCTGGGAACAGAATCCCTGTGTTTTCTTGGTCTTCATCCAGGCTGTCAGCATGAATTTATACAGAAGCAACTAAAGAGCCATTACATATCTTTCAATTAAGCAAAACTTGCACATTATTTCTGGGGCTTATGGGATTAATCTTAAATAATAATCATATAGTTGTAACAGAAAATACGAGAGACCTCATAAAAACCCCATCACACTCATTGACAGTATATTTTAGGCAAATTCAGAGGGTTTAATAGTTAATTTTTAAGTGTTTTATCATGCTGGCTGGAACCTTCTAGATATTTTTTTTGCTTTTTAGACTGTATGCAAAGTATGAATGGTCCCTGCTCTTAATTTTTGTTGTAGTTGTTCATTTTTTGGCATCCCATTTAACTTTTCTTTTTTTTAAAGCTTAGCTCTTGCCTTGTTCCAACATTATTATAATTAATCTATATGCAGTCTTTAAAAAAATTTAATCCTGTCTTCAACAAGACTGGTGGAAAGTATAAATTGGTTGATAACATTGTGCATGAAAACTATACAAGCCTGTTTTCAATAAAATAATGAAATAGGAATTGTTGTATCTGGTGACATTTTACTTTTAATTACAGAAATAATCCCTTTTCCCTAACGGTGAAAATTGAACAGAGTTGGCAAGAGCAGTTGGATTATTGGGAGGGTTTAACCATGAACCTTTTGATAGTTTCATGTCTAGGTGACTAGGTGGTATACATTTTTACCATATTAAAAAGAACACAAAAAAACCAAACCTGTTGCCCTCGAGTCGATCGCCACTCCAAGTGACCCTATAGGACAGAGTAGAACTGCCTCATAGGGTTTCCAAGAAGTGAATGGTGGATTTGAAACTTCTGACCCTTTGGTTAGCAGCCTAGCTCTTAACCACTGTATATACTTCATTAAAAAATATTTATTGGGTACTTACTATGTGAGCGGCACTGTGTTATTCTCTGTGGTCAGAATGCTCTGTAAAACAGAATTCCCACCCTCATGGAACTTGCTGGCAGTTGGAGGATAGATGTTAAATAAACTCACAAATATGTAATGAGTGCTATGAAGGGGAAGTAGAAGTGCATCCAGAAGATGCAGGGCCTTAGGGAAGATTTCCAAATGTTTGAGTGGAAATGTGAAGCCTGCACTAAGGACTAAGTAGGTAAAAGACGGGAGAAGTGGGTTATGGGGAGAGGGGGCAGGAGGTGTGCTGGAGAGACCTGAGAGGGGAGGGGTGAGGAATAGGAAGTTCAGGCCAGAGGGGATGGAGTGGGACGAACCAGGGGAAGAGAGACCCAGGCTGAGGCTGAGGAGGGAGGTGGGGACCAGATCGTGGGCAGTAACTCTGATGCGTTTCCAGCAGGGAAGTGGCACAATCAGGCCCTCTGAAAGGATCCTGCTGCTGTGCAGCGAACAGGTTTTGAGGGACAGAGGTGGCAACAGGAGGATCAGGTAGAAGGTTCCGGCACCAGTCCCCTCCAGAGCAGCCGGGGCGTGCACTGGGGAGTGACAGTGGAGATGGAGAGAGGTGGACGTGTTAGAAAGCTGTTCAGCAGTTAATTGATGGCATTTGTAGTTTTTGGAAGTGTTAGCTTTGTACATAGTGAGACCTGTCATGGTAAGGCATTAATCATATAGTCAGATCTTATGGAGTGCAGTTCTACTCTGAAACACATGGGGTTGCCATGAGTTGGACTCGACTCAGTGACAACTGGTGAAAGATAGATCGTTGATTGGTAGACTAGAAAGAGAACTCTTACATTAGTTAGAACTGCTCCTGGGGTTGGATTGAGCAATGGTACTGTAAAAGGTGTTTTGCTGAGTTTTAACCCAGAGAACAATGAGCCGACCGGGTCTAGTCAGAGAAGTCACCAGGGCCACGGTCTGCCCCACTTGGCGTCAGTGAAATTCAGAGTAGAGTAAACAAATGAACAGATAAGGTGTTGCACTCAACCACATGCAGTGGTGACACCTCAGTGACCAGTGCTTTACCACAGAGGGACTGTGACATTTCAAAGGACAGAGAGGGTGAGAGGGGGGCAAGGGGTAAAAACAATGCCAATTCATGTTCAACATTTGTTTCAAAAAATTTTTTTTCAAAACCTTGCATTAAAATTTTGATTTCTTAATTGCTTGTCTTGACAAATTGGATTTGTAGGATCTGTTTATTATCAACCCCAATCTGCTTTTTCTCTTTGGAATATTGACAAATTTTCTAGCTGTTGAGACATTTCTTTCCTAATTACTTTGTGACAAAAATGGTGAAGCAGAATCTGCTTCTGAAAAATAGCCTGGGTGTTCAGTATTAGCCTACCAAGCAGCATGCTGTTTTTCCACAGGCTAATTCACTCAGCTCCCCAGTTAACAGCCTCTGTCACGGTTGTATGTTGGACAAAACCCATAATGTGATTCTTACTTGTTTGTTTTAAATCAGCAAGAATTTGTGCTGTTATTTTTGTTATTCCTGCTAACATAAAGGGAAGAACATTTCCTACAGTTATCTTGGGCATGCATCACTGGAAGACCGTGCCTACTTCAGTCCAACAATGATAGCTAAAATAATGCATTTCCTTAGTTCATAGTATTGACACTATCACCATAGTCACTACCATTTAAAAATTATGCTAGTAGGATAGTTAACACTTAACATGTTGTGAAAGCGAAATGAGAGTTAATCTGGAAAATGATCACTATGCTACGACATGAAATGCTGAGAAATGAGATCTTCCAGCCAGACAGCTGGGGTTCCAATCCTTGCTCTTCCATTTACCAGCTATATGACCTTGAGGATGTTACTCAGTGACCCTGTGACCCCATTCCTCAGCTTCATCATGTGTGGAATGGGGATGATAGAAGTACTGGGTTGTATATTTAAAGAACTTAAAATACTACCTCAACATTGTTTGTGCCGTAAGTACTACATAAGGGTTTGCTGCTTTTTGTTGTTATGGTTAACAAGTACAGAAAAGCTGATAGGAAACAATGACCACTGTGGCTGTAGTATATATCATGTATTCTTTTTGTTTCTTCTTAGCTTTTCCTAAGTCCAAGTGGGAGTGTGCATTATTTGATTCTTATCCTGAGTCAATGCCAGCAAACCAACAACCCCGGGACTTGCATTGGAGTGAGGTAAAAGGTCTTCATATGTTAATAAGTATGGACATGTGTAGTATGAACTCCATTAGCCTAGGTTCTTTACAAACTTGGGAAAATCCACTTTTATAACATTTTCTTTTATACTTGGTAATTACTTCAGGCTCAGTCTTTCAAATCTAAACATGAGATGTATCTGTAATTATCTTTTTTTTTCCTTTCCCCCCTAAAACTTGATTTGGTAAAATAAACAAAGTAGTCCATTGACTGTCTAGAGGTTAAAGTTAGGTATAGCCAAACCAAACCAGAAGATGCTAGCCAAGTTATTTACTTTAACCAAGCTTTAATTCCTTAGTAAATGTTTTAACGTTGTATTTTTAGTAGCTGGGTATTAGCAAGGTATAATGAACCAGAACAGCTTTGAGAGGAGGTTTGAGAACTATATATGAGGTCCCCAAATCACATTCATAGCTCCTTCTCCCTCAAGGTTTTTAGCTTTTGGACCAAATGAAGACTGGTTTGGATGATCTCCAAAAGAAACTTGGACAATCCCCACAATGTTGGGCCATTAATGTGTGGGTGTAGCCAAGTGCTTACTGATCCTTAGTTGTGGATCAATAAATAGGAGGAATCGTTAATGGTCACTGTGATTATCATCATTATCATCATCACCATTATGATCACTATGATGATACCTTATGGCACCTGCTGTCCCCTTCCAGAGAGAAAAATCTGGAAACATTTAATAAATGGAGGTTTATTCACAGACTCCTGTTTGAGTCCTCAGACCCTAGTTCAAGCCATCACAAGGCGATGGAAGTCAAAGAGAGGATGCAGGGACATTTCTGGAGTTTTTTGTAACTGTGTGTGATTATTTACTCTTTTAACTGGGGCTTTCAGGCCTGTAGTTTGTGTACAGATGGCATCCTCTGTGAGAGAATCAAGCCTCCTTCTGCAGTACTCCCTCTGATTAACCTCCCTTTGCCTCTCTGCCACTATTCCTCTGAGTTGTTGCCTTCAGGTTACTTTCCTCAGCAGATTTCTCTTCCTGGGCGAAGGGTATAAAGAAATGTGATTTCAGGATGGGCAGGAGATGCGCATTTGAAGAATTTTTCTTTTTTAATTTCCTTTTCTGTAGAATGCACATGATGGAGAAGCAGATACAACAGTTAGCCACTTTCCATGGTCCTCAGTATACACTGAGGCTTCTAGCCGTGTCTGGAGAGGTTTCTCCATCAAGTGCGAATAGATGCCTCTACAGCTGTCTTACACAGTTCCCCTGCTTTTTGCAATAGGTTACCCCACTTTTGTAAAATTATGAGGTTGTTAGGTGATTTCCTAAAAAATGTCATAAATATGTGTTCTTTCTAGGTAAAAATTGTTCCAATTTACGATGATATGACATGGTCTTTGCTCTTCCAATAATGATAAATAATACTGATTTTTTTGGTAGACATTAATTACTGGCTTATGTTGCTTTTCCACATGAAGCCATACATCATCTGTCTAAAAAGAAAGAAGAGCAGATATACAGGTGGTCATAAGGTCCGGAAATGTAGATATTTTTCTCACACACACACACACACACACACACACACACACACACACACTCACACTCACACACACTCAAACACACTCTCACACACTGTCTCTCTGATGGCCTTGATGACATGTGTATCTACCTTTATGGACGTTACACACAACTAGTTTTATATACTTTTGTATACTCTAACTGGCTCCTTTGGGAGGGGGTAAAAGCTAACTGAGTCTTTTATTCTTTGCCCTGTCCAAACCACAAAGCAAAACAAAAACTTCTTTTCCAACCAAGTTGTTATTTTGTGTGAGGTGAGGGCTTTTAGATGATAATGCAGTAATCAGAATTCAGGCAAGGTGTTAGTTAATTGGTGGCTTGACCGTTCAAGAAGTGTAGGTCAGATTTCAATAGCTAATAATGAAATAAATCATGTCCTCTGAATGATTATTCATTGTCCTTTCTATCTACCAGTCTTTTAGTCTATCATGAACGCACGGGATTTAAATAAATTTTAGTTCCAGCCCCGGGTGGATGACTCCAGGATAGGGTGTTTGTGTCATGAGTGAAGGTGTGGCTGATTCAGGTCTCAGGTCAGGAGAATTTTGCTTAGCAGCACATCTTTTTCTAAAGACAGCACAGTTGTTGACTTGTACTTATTCCTTCAAGGGTTTTAGATGATAATTTCAGGTATATTCCTCTTTAACAGTGTTTTCGTATGTTACTATATTTATGTTTTTAACAGCTTTACTGAGATATAATTCACATAACTTTGTTCACGCATTTAAAGTGTACAATTCAGTGACTTTTAGTATATTCACAGAGTTGTGCAACCGTAACCGCAATTTAACTTTAGAACATTTTCATCCTCTTCCCTCCAGCCCCTGGCATCCACTGATCTACTTTCTGCCTCTATGGATTTGCTTATTCTGGACATTTCATATAAATGGAACTATACAATCGTGTCTTTTGTGACTGGCTTCTTTCACTTTGTATAATGTTTACAAAGTTCATCCATGTTGTAGCATGTATCAGGACTTCATTCCTTTTTATGCCTAAATAATATTCCATTGTATGAATATAACATACTTTGTTTATTCATTCATTCGTTGATGGACATTTTAGTATGTCCACTTTTTGGCTACTATGAATAATGCTGCTATAAACATTCATGTACAAGTGTTTATGTGGACATATGTTTTTATTTCTTTTGGGTATATACCTAAGAATGGAATTTTGGGGGTTATATTGTAACTGTAGGGGCCCTGGTGGCGCAGTGGTTAAGCGTTTGGCTGCTAATCATAAGGTCGGCAGTTCGAATTCCCCAGCCGCTCCTTGGAAACTCTATGAGGCAGTTCTTCTCTGTCCTATAGGGTCACTGTGAGTCGGAATCTACTCGACAGTAACGGGTTTGGTTTTGGTTTGGTTTTAGATGCACTTTCACTCCATTTGTCATGTTCATTTGGATGGGCCATTGTTTCTCTCTTCTTTGTATGTCTTGTGATCGATTTTTTGTTGGGGCAGTGGAATTTTCAAAAGTGTTAACTTTCTCAGCTTTCCCCAGTATTTGATGTTTTTGCCTGCACTACTGTCTCCAGAAAACTCTTAGATGGCCAGTGCCTTTGACCTTTGCTTAACATTTCCTCTTCCTCTCTGTGAGAGCTCATTCTCCCTCCCTGGTTTAATTAGGATTCGAAAGTTTCAGGTCTTGGTTTTCAACTTTCAGTGTCTCCCCAAAATACCAGAGAACATAGTGTGGTCAGTCTATCCACTAGTGGGCACCGCCACTCAGGTGAGATACTATGTACTAATCAATCTGTCCACCAGGGGGTGCAGTCCCCTCTCTCTGGTTATTACTTCCTTCCCTTCTGTTTCTGCAACTATGTTTTTAGTCAGAAGAACCGTACCCAGTGAGCCCCCTTCATAGCTGGTTTTTGTCCTTTGGTTTTGCCTGAGACTTTCTTCCCTGCTCTGTGTGGGCTGCTTATATCTGAACTGGCATTCAGGAGAAGCACAGGCACACTTTACTCAATTTCAGGAAGAAGAGGGGCTGGCAATCCCCAGAAGGACCTCCGAGAGATCTGTCTTGTTGGTTTCAGAACCCCAGTGGCCCTGTGGTGGTTGTGGGAGCAGTCTCCACTTAGGTGACCCACCTCCTGCCTGCCCTGTAGGGAACCTTCTGTAGGAGTTTGTATCAATTCAGCAGCCGACAGTTGCCAGTTAGGAGAGGGCTTGTCACACTCTGAAGGGACCCCCGGCGAGGTCTGCCTTGTTGCTGTCAGAGCCTGCCCTGTAGTATGTTGCTTCCTAGCACACAGCAGCCTCAGTCAGCAGTCCTCAGTGCTGACTGGAAATGGGAGCAGACAGACCCAAACTGATCCCTAGGGAAGTCTGTCCTGTTGATTTCAGAGGCCTGAGCTGCAGGGTGCCCAGGGAGGCAAGTAGAGTGCTGACAATACGAGCAGACTCCACTGTGGGAGACTTCTGTATCAGTTTGCAACGGCCTGGAAACCAACAGTTACCAGATGGGGGAAGGGGTATCATGCTCTGGTCAGTCCTCCTGGAGGTCTGTCTTGTTGCTATCAGAGTCACCCCGGTAGATTGGTGGCTGTGAGTGCAGCTTCCACTCAAGACTCCTGCTTCCTAGCACATAGCAGCCTCAGTCAGTAGTCCTCAGTGCCAACTGGAAGTGGGGGCAGACTAACCCTAATTGACCCCCAGGAGGTTTGTCCTGTTGGTTTCAGAGGCCAGAGCTATGGGGTGTGTGGGGAGGCAGGTAGAGTGCCGACTGTGAGAGTAGTCTCCACTGCACGGGCCTTCTGTAGCAATTCACAGCAGGCTTTCAGCTGACTGTGTCCCGGTGGGGGAGTTGCTGGTATACTCCAGACGGATCCCTGGGGAGGTCTGCCTTGTTGATATCAGAGCCCCCCCCCCCCATAGTATGTTGTTTGTGGGTGTAGCTTCCACTAAGGATGTCTGCTTCATAGCACACAGCAGCCTCAGTCAGAAGTCCTCAGCACCAGCTGGAAGGGGGAGCAGAGAGACCTGAACTCACTTCCCAGGAGGTTTGTTCTGTTGGTTTTAGAGGCTTGAGCTATGGGGTGTGCAAGGAGGCAGGTAGAGTGGTGATTATAAGAGCAGACTCCACTGCACTGGCCTTCCGTAGCAATTTGTAGTAGGCTTGCAGCCAGCAGTGTCCGGGTAGGGGAAGTGCTGGCACACTCCAAACAGACCCCTGGGGATGTCTGCCTTGTTGATTTTAGAGCAGAAGCTTGGGGTCCTGTCTCTTCATACAGGCAGGGGCTGTGGTGGTTATGGAAACAGGCTCCTTTTTGGGGGCCACTTCCCCAGTTCACAGCAGCTGGTAGCCCGCATGGCTGGGGGTGGGGGGAGCAGGGATGGTGGGAGAAGCGATTTTCCTACTATACGCAACTCAGTGTTGATTCATTGATTCTTGCCTGTGTGCAGTTTCCTGCTGCTTTCCTCTGCTGTCTGATTCAGAACCCCTCAAAGCTGCACACCATTTCCTTGTTGTGTCTCTTGTATTTGTGGAGGAGGGTCAGAACAATGGTCTGGTTACACCACCATCTTTCAAGAATCTCAGTATTAATTCTTTTGATCCATGAACATGGGATGTCTTTCCATTTATTTAGATCTTCTTTAATTTCTTTTTATCTACATTTTCTACTCTCACCTAATTTCTTCCACTAAAAGGTCTGGTTTATAATCCAGGTGGGAGAAGAAAATGAAAGCAGTACACTGTTAAGGTACATTCCCTGTTCTATTGAAGATAGACTTTGCATAGGAAATTGCATTTGGAGGCTTCATTATAATGCCAAGAATTACTTGACTAAGGATTGTTAAATCCTAGATCAGATTACCACCAAATAGTTCTGTAGCTCCATTTTTGGGAACAGTTTAAAAACAGAAGTATCGGTCACCTTGCTGGGGTTGTTTGGATTCTGAGAGGTAGACCAACTAAGTCTTTGGCACACCAGGCAGCATGCAATTTACTCTACTTTAAGTGTTTAATTTTATTTGATTTTTTGAATATGCTTAAAATATGAAGAATATAAAAGGCATATACTATACTGACAAATTCTCCTTCCGTCCCTGTCACCCATCTATCCAATCACCTGTCAATTCTTGTATGTCTTCCAGAGTGTATATATATAAAGACAAGATGAATGTATATTCTTTAATTTCATCAGAGGTTTTAGAGTATATGTCAATTGATATTTTACAAGAAATGAATTGATAGTAGATTTTAAAGGGAGTTTTAAAATAATCGATTAGTTTAGGTTTTCATCTTCTTAGTGTGAGGACTTTTCCCATAAATGAGTTAGGAGAAAATTTTCATCTGCTCATCAGTAAGATTATTGTATTCCACAGCAGGGAGGCTATTTTTATCAGAGTTGGACATCCTTTGCATAGCAGATCCTGGCAAATACCTAAATTATGGGACCACTTGTCAGAACCTCTCTCCATTCTGTAGAAAAAGTACATAAAATACACGTTTGTTCTTGGCTGAATGGGCAATTGCTATGCAATTCTCTGGCTGAATCCAAGTTAGATTCTGATGTAATGTATGGTCTATAAACCTACCTCAATCTGAATTGTAAATTTTTCCCTCTGTGCATGTAAATTTTAAAATACAAATGAACTTCTACCTCACTAGGAACTTAAAAAAAAAACAGTATTAATGTCAGGATTTATTGAAACCATAAATATTGGGAAGAATTATTGCTTTTAGAACATTTTCATCATATGTGCACATCACTTAATTTCCATTCTAATCCATATAATTAATTTACTTTTCTTTTCCAAGAAGACATCTGTTAAAGACATGGCAGACTTCCCTGTCCCTACCCAAGATGTGACTCTCGATGACAAACAAGGTATGAAAAGAATGAATTTTCTTCCTTTAAGGACATTCTACCTATGCGTCCTCATCTAATTATTTTGGAATGTGACTTCTAGAGCATTTGAGGAAAGTTTTGAGGATGTGAACGCATTTGGACTGATGACGTGTTGCTGCATAATCATAGTTCGTAAGGTGCTAATGAGATCTTGAGTGGCCAAAGCCCCCCAACTCATTGCCCCTTGACTCATTGCTGACCCTCAGGCCACTGTGACACCTTGTATTGGAATCTGGTCAGACTAATTAGAAAATGACTGGACACTGACAGAATTGAGAACTTAGCATCTTGGGTTGACAGATACGAGAAATAACGCCTTTGTACAAAGCTCTAATCCGTGAGGAAGTTCTGTTCTGGCTAGGCTTTCTGTCTCTGGGGTTTATCTGTCTCTCTGTGGCTTTTTGAGGGTGGGATGTGACGTGGAGCCCAACAACAATTGCCTGTCTTGTGGGGTGTGTGAGAAGCAGTGTAACACAGGGCTCCATGTTGTAGTTACCACAAGCACAGGGATGAGTTGGCCTGATAATATCTAGAACAGCAGGAGGCCCCCCCCCAATACCTCTGTTTAATGCTTTATAGTATACCAGGTCCTTCCTCCTACACTGCTTTATTCAGTCCTCAAAAAACTTAATGGAAGCTGGTATGTTTTATCACCTAAAATTTAAAGATGAATAAATGGAAGTTCAGACAGAATGAATCATTTGCTTAGTAAAAAAAAAGAACTGGGTCAAGAATCAAGACTTTCTACATCTCCAGCCAGCCTTCCTTCTAGTAGCTAATGTCGATTCACTACCCACAAATGAGAGAGGCTTGTCTGAAGGGCTACATGTCAGTGAGCTATTTCAGGTTTTATCGTTGGGACCTGCCATTGATTCAGCTTTGCATCAGAAAAGTTTTTAAAAAATAAGTTTTCCATTAAGAAACAATAATTGCATGTTTTCTATTTTAAATACGTGCTCAGGAGAGGTAGGCAGATCTGGATATTGTCTGCAACAGTAGATACTCTGATCACTCTTTCAACTGGTGGATGCTAGCCTGCGCATTGGAATAACCCTGAGAACTCTAAAAATACTGAAGCCTGGGCCCCAGCCCCACAGATCTGATGTAATTGGTCTGGGAGTCAGGAATGAAACAACGAATTGCTGCTGATTTCAACTCATGTGACCCTATGCGTGTCACAGTAGAACTGTGTTCCCTAGGGTTTTCAATGACTGACCTTTCAGAAGTAGATCACCAGGCCTTTCTTCCGAGGCACCTCTGGGTAGACTCCAACCTTTCAGTTAGCAGCTAAATGTGTTAACCATTTGTATACCACCCAGGGACTCCCATCAGGAATGAAAGGGAGAAATTCCTGATACTTCCTGGCAGTCCTCTTGCTAGCCACTAGAGGTGCTCTCTCTGGAAAGTTAAAAATATAGCTTTCTTCTCTATGGGAGGAGAACCTATTTCCATACTTCAGGGGCTCTTTATTGTTTTAGTGAATACTCGGCAACTGTTTTTATAGCAACTTCTAGCGATTTGTAAGACTTCTTTTTGTAAGTGATAACTGGGGATTCTTTGTTTTAATGTAATGTGCCTCCGAAATAAAAATTTATAGTTTTTTTTTCTTTTCTTCCCCTTTCTCTTATTCCTTCAAAACAAAACGTCACTAGCTTCGAAAAATACTACAGATGAACCCTCACCAAAGGATATGTTGGAGGATCCAGGTAGGAGCAAACCTTAATTTTAATAGACTTTCTATGTAATTATTTCTAATTTGAAAAGCTGCAGTTTCAGTGAGTAGAAGACTGCTACATCTCTGATAGTGTGTTTGTTTCTCCCTAAATATTTCTCTTGTGTTTTATTGGAAGGGAACACTTTGGCTTTTTACACCTTCCCTCTTTTCTGATGTGAGAACAGGATAATTTCTTTTTTAAATTCCCAATTTAGGTTTCACTGAAAGGATAGCTCAATTTGAATTTAGAGTCTCATTGGAGTTGAGAAGATTTCAGCAAGCCGTGGTGTTTCACGTAGAGTAAGGAGTTGATGGGGTACATCAGCTGGAGGCCCAGAGCTGATACTTGGCACTTCCAAAGCAAAAATCTTAAATATTTTTATTATACCTGAACACCGGGAAGGCATGTACCTGTCTTACACTTACACAGATATCGGATTTATTATAGGTTATTCCAAGGAGAACAATAAAAGTTGTGTCAGTCCAGTTTCTCCAACAGTTGGAACTGTGTCTATGGAGCCAGTGGAGAATGACTGGGCCTTGTGTCCTCAGCTCTCTTGATGGCACCATCATTGGAGCAAGATGTACCCTAGTTAAGAAACCAATTGGCTAGGGAAGGTATGACTATTAACGTCGAGGCTTGTGTTGTGGTAAAATATTTTCTAGACACCAAGTTCATTCAAGGCTTAAAAGAGAGGAGGAAAGAGTGGGGGAGAAGGGTATGAGAGGGAAGAGACAGAGAATGAATATGAATTTGAATGAGAATATATGAGTAATTCAGTGATGGCATCTGAGAATCTGTATTTTTAGTAAGCTCCCCAGGTGATTCTGAGGTATAGCCTATTTTGGAAACTGCTGCCTCTAGAAGGGAGTGCCTAGGTGGTGCAAGCAGTTAAGTGCTTGACTACTAACCAAAAAGTTGGCGGTTTGAACCCACCCAGAGATGACTGTTTCCGAAAGGTCTTAGCCTTGAAAACCCTATAGAGCAGTTCTACACTGCACACACGGGCCTGCCATGAGTCAGAATTGACTTGATGGTAACTAACAACCACCACCACTTCTAGAAGGTGATGTTAAGAAATAGAAAATTAAGGTTGTGGAACAGTCATGATTCCAAAAGTTGTGGGAATTCCCAAGCCAAATTTTGGCTTTTGAAGCTGATTCATGCTCATTCATCATGGGGGGGACACGCTCTGTTTGTGTAGGTCAAACCTGAGGTTGATTCTTTCCACCTCAGATTTCTGGAGTCAAACTAGATGCATTCTAGTTTTTGTAAACTTAAGGCTATAGTATTAGTAAAAGCTATTTAAATTTGAGGAGTGAAAACTGCTTCTCCAACAGCCTTTGAGGCTAATAACTCTTTTATTTTTTCTGGAGATTTTAGCATGAGCATCAAGTCGTCTTTGGGGCATGAGCTCGAGACCTCGTTTGTAACATTCCCTCATTGAATAAGACATGGCATCATCAAACAAAACCTACTAGGCGTGACACAATGCGTGAAGCATATCTCAATTTGTTTTTCACATTACACTTGCTAGCATGCTATGTGTTTTCTCAACCGTTCTTCTTACTGCTACCCCTTTTTGGAGGCTAGAGATTTCCTCCTATGTCCACTCTATGACAAGCCTTGAGTGTTCTAGGAAGTTGACATTCTTCCACCCTCTTACCAGCTAAATGAGAAGCGATGATCCACCAGTTGGCTTCTGCCTGAATTCACAACCCAACGTGCCCTTGCCATTTTTGCAGACATTCACAGATACCAAATGCTGAGGCCGACTTTTAGGGGCTTCGAGGCTGATGGAAGTGTTAGCTAGAACAGTGTTCTCTAGACTCTTCTAGTTTGAAACCTGTGGAGATTTACCAAGACCTGCCTGGGAGGTCTGTTTGCAGGTGGAAGGAGAGGCAGCCCCCTGCCCTGCTCCACCACAATTGGTGGTATTAATGATAATGACAGCGTGTGGTGGGCGATAAACGGGGTGGTGCTGTGTTATCAGGGAATGGGAGTATTTCTTGTGTGTTAGTTTTCCATATGCCGTTACCCTTTTAACTGCTGAAAATGTATATATAAGTGGAGACCGATAGCATTCTTATTATGTTACATTCCAACGTAATTCAAGAGAGCACATTGCACGGTGGTGACCTTTCTTTTGAGATCTTTGGGTCAGACTGAGGTTTAGTAGGCTGTTCACCCTCACACTGTAGTCTCTAGACTGCTGTTAGTGATTCTAGCCCCTTTGGCAGCTATCACTTAACAGTCTTATTGGCCTAGAGCAGTCCTCTCCTTCCATTACTTGCTTCCACCCGTACCTTCTTTGCTGTTCTAGAAGGAACTAAATTTAGAAACCAAATTTCTAAGCTTGAAAAATTAGGAACCTTTATTTATACGTTCTATAACAGGAATATATTATAATTCTAAAATACACTTAGTTTTGAAAGTACCTTCACTTTCCTATCTCTCCCTGTGAGGTGTGGGGGCTGCATTTTCATTATCTTCATTCCAGAGATGAGGAAACTAAGGTTCCGAGAGCTAACAGCGACTTCATGCCATGGCCAGGAGGAGAACATAGGGCCTCAGGACTCCCGGCCTGATCTCTGGGCCGCTCTCTCCACTGCTTATCCTCACCCCTCGCCCCAGGTGCCTGTCTGTTTATCTCTCACCAACAGGGCTCACCCCTCCTTGCACACCCATTCCTATCCCAGCAAAAAGAAAAAGATAATTAACAGTTGGGAACAATATTTTAACACAACTGGGACTTCTCCTACTCATGGGCTCCTGGAGAGCCGGGGGCCTGAGGGAGAAGAGGGGCATGGAGCCAGCGGTGGGAAGCCTGCTCAGAGGGCTCCCTCAGCCCTGCGGTGAGTCCATCACTGTCTGTTCACCTGGCCCCAAGGCAGCCTCTGTGGCTCGGAGGAGCTGCTCCCCTTCGGCCCCCACTCTTTGCTGCCTGGGCTTTGTAGGAGGGAGGTGTTTTCTGTCCACATCCAGGCGCACGTGCATGACATCGGACAAGAGGGGCCTTAGACACATTGGGCTTTCCGTGCTGGTTTCTGAGGCTGTGGCCGTGTTGCAGAGGGTTGAAGTCTAGAGATTCGTGTGTTCTCATTACAACAAGCCAAAGTGCTTAGGTTGGGAAAATGCCTCTCTTATGCAGCTGACCATTTCTAAGGGAATATATTGGTGGTGTGCTTTGTGCTTTGTTAGCGTTTCTGAGGATTTTCATCTCCCCTTTCTGCCCTGCTCATCTAACCCAAGGATTTTAATGATCATCATAAATTCAGGCTGCTTCATAGTGAGGAGGGTGTTTATCTTTGTAGCGGTGTAAAAAGAATGGGATAATGTAGGGCGACATTTTCTTTTTGGAAGAATTTGTGCACACGAATATATAAATTACATTCTCCCTGTTCCTGGTTAGTAGCACTCTGTGAATTTTTATGACATTTCATGATGAAAACATTTCAGTGTTTGCAAAACCTTAGCATAGCTGGTGGTTTCTAAAGTTGTCTTCCATAAGGGATTGGAAACATAAAAAGAGGCTTCATGTTTTTATAAATGTTTCTAGTTACTCCCGACAATTTATGGTGGGGAAGTAGGCTCCACAAGTGTCGATCGTGGGCAAATTAGTTTATGATTGAAATTTGGTAAGGAAAAGTCTTACGGGTGACAAAATATTTTGACTATTTCATTCCATAATACTTGCTGTACGACTTGGTCATAGAGACACGGGGTACAAGACTATTTTCTTATCGGAAAAGCGGCATAGCTCATTTCAACTGACTTGTGGGCTTTGATTTCTTGTGGCCATGCTGCTCTTGTAGTATATTTTAAGAAATATGGAGCACGAGACATTTCTTCCTAGCCTTCAGGGGACACTAGTTTAAAACCTATTACTAGGCTACCATGATCGATCAAGATACCCTTAAGTACGAACTCATTATTATATAAAAAGATAACCCTCTGAAAAGGTTTTCTTTTCGGACTGGAATTTCTTTATTAATCAACTTAGATTTGAGAATGGCTTCTTTGATAGTGTTCTGATGAAAGGGAAAATATGTTGGTTTTTTTTGCCTTTTAATGGTGCCATTAATTTTAGAAATAAAATTATGAAATCATGAGCATGTGGAAGGCGTCCAAGTTCTCCACATGGACACCTGTACCTCACGTTTACCTGTTGATGTGTTCTGTACTAGCCCAGGTGCTGCATATAAACCTGTTTAACTGCAGAAATGAAACCCAAGCAAACAACAAATAATCTTTGTTTCAGCAACGCCTAAGGATTCCAACAGTCTGAAAGCAAGACCAAGATCCAGGTAGTGTTTGTTTAATTTCTGCTTTTATGTCCTTTGTGCCTTGTCCCTGCCTAGGCATAAAACCTCCACCTCAAAACCCAACCCGTGCTCTCCTTTTCCTTTAGAGTTGGAGCTTAGAATATGGGTAATTTCACTAGCTGGGAGTGGCTGCATTGGAACACATAGTGATGCTGGGGAGACTCTTCATTTCTGTTTTTATTCTAGAAGGTGGTGGTGGATACTCTTTGGTCCCCTGATCTGAAGAGGTAGGCTGTGTGATTATGACCCAATTGTCACAGGATGATAACTAATGGAGGGAAGTAACTTTGAAAAGAGGGGAATACAATGATAAGGTAACTAACACTGAAATTTGATATCACGACAAAGGTAACATCCAAAATTAAGAAGTATGAGGAATAAAATCTAGAGTAGGAAAAGCAAATGCTTATGATTACTTCAGTGAGGATTGAAGCTTCTGCTTATCGAAGTCAGGTGAGCAGAGTATTGGTCTGTTTGATCCCCTCCTAGAGCCTCTTCTTGGCTTCAGCGTTTTTCAGTGGTCAGAGGAGAGTAGAAGAGGGAGAGTAGAAGGGGCAGAGCTGCGGTGGACTTCCGCAGAGAGGAGCAGAGAAGGAATAGGAGACACTAATAGATGGAATCAATCAAAGAGGTGAGATGCTACGGGGACACTTTGCCAGTAGAACTGAAGTGCAAGATCCGGTACTCTTGTGTGTGTTTTTGTAAGTTCTGCTTTGACCCTTAGTGACATTTTTCTTCCTTTTGCTAGTAGACATATTCCTGAAAAAGTAAATTTAATTCTAATCATATTTTATTTGCTTGAAATACTGATCTTTAAGGAAATCTTGTGTCCTTGTAAATCGAAGAGTTACCCGAGTTTATCTTTTACACCTGGATTTTCCAAATTGGGCTTTTGTTCCCTTGTTTATAGAAAGTGTAGACATCTTTATATTTTTAAAAACAATAAATAGAGTAATTTATTTTGGTAGAAAAGGGGTGTAGTCACTATTTCTCTCTATGACCATCACCTTACTGGTAGTCATCCTTTTTAAAAGGGTGAATGAATCTTTCACAAATGAGTCTGTATTGGTTTAGGGATGTAGAATAGTAATCTTTATCTTCTTTCATGATAGGAAGAAGGCTCTTTTTTTTTTTAAATTTTTTCCCATACAAAAATTTATACGTATGTTGTTATGTGACTCTAATTGCTCTCCCCATTCTGTGACAGCACACTCCTCCTTTCCGCCCCTGATTCCCCATGTCCATTCAGTCAGTTCCTAACCCTCTCTGCCTTCCCATCTCACCTCTGGACAGAAGCTGCCCCTTTGGACTCTTGTATCTACTTGAGCTAAGAGGCACACTCCTCACGAGTATCACTTTATGTCCCACAGTCCAGTCCAATCCCTGTCTGAAGAGTTGGCCTTGCAAATTGTTTTAGTTCTGGGCTGATAGAGAATCCAGGGGCCATGCTTTCCGGGGTTCCTCCAGTCTCAGTCAGACCATTAAGTCTGGGGAAGAAGGCTCTTTAAATTGCAGAAATCTGCTTCTGGGTACTATGTTAACCATAAATTAAACTTCCCGTTTTTTGCTCTTGCTGATCTCTCCTTGCTCCCCAAGTGAGTGAAATTATAAAATCTCAGTCACATATTCTATTATTAATGTGTTGGACTAAATTATATATATGTATAAATTTCAGTCAACTATATTTATAAATATAAATAAGTATATATATCTTAGAGATTTTCTCCTGGTCTGACTTAGAGTTTTTTATGTTTACTACTCTCAACTGGGTCTTAAACAAAGGAATCAAATCATTTTATCTTCCTTTTTTAAAATAATAAAGCATTGTTGAAATTAAGGGAAAGAAAATCACCGTTCTAACACTACTGTGTTCATCATTTTGTTGATTCCCTGCACATTTATATTTTAATTGGTTGTGGTCATAGTTATACAATCTCATTTATTTGCTATTCACTGACTTTCCATATGAAAATATAAATACATAGATTACATATGGAAACGAGATATGTGGTATGGAATATGTATGCACACACAGTGAAACCTGTGAGAGCCGGAACACGATGGGACTGCCTTGCTTTTCCAGGTCTCGCAAGTTTTCTGCCTTTGGCAGGGTGCAGTCTTACCACTTTTCTGTCATTCTCTATTAGTGGAAAATATTTGTGTTTTCCGTCTCTGACAGGTTTCTGCCTTACACAGGTTCCGGCTTTTGCAGGTATATATATATATATATATACGGTGTCTCTAAATCTATATCTGGCATAGAAGGTTCTTTTAATTTCTAGTTACACTCGTTGCTGTCGAGTTGATTCCGACTCCTAGTGACTGTGTAGGACAGAGTAGAACTGCCCCATAGGGTTTCCAAGGAGTGGCTGGTGGATTTGAACTGGTGACCTTTTGGTTAGCAGCAGAGCTAATTTCTAGTTAGGGTCTCTAATTTCCTTTTTAAATTATGAGTTCCCATTTAACAGCTTTGCTTTTATATCAGTCATTTTCTTCTGCTTGAAAGTGTTAGAATATTCTTCCCTACTAGTTCCTGCATGTCTTTTTGCCTTGCCTGTCTTGCCAGTTGTTACAGAGACCATCCTAAAGTATTCACATGGCAGTATGGTGGCTTCACTAAAGATTGCAACCTTGCAAGACAAACAAAACCCTCAGCTTCCACAAAGAAACCTTCAGGAACTCATTCAGGAAAATAGAAACTCGCTATGTCAGGTCGGCAGTTCGAATCCACCAGCTGCTCCTTGGAAACCCTAGGGAGCAATCCTACTGTGTCCTATAGGGTCACTATGAGTTGGAATCTACTCGACAGCAACGAGTTTTTACGTCAAAAACAGCGTGACCAAGAACAGAAGGAGCCTATAAGTAATTGTAGACTCTAATTTTATAAGAACCACTCTAATAGCACAATAGGAAGGACTGTTTTCTGAGGTTAATTTGTCTTTAGGACACGTCTAATGCAAAGGTCGTGGTCTTCTTTGACATGAAGTTAGTGGGGAAGCTGAGTAGCACACGTACCCATTCACCTCCTAAGTCCTTTTCTGGATCATCATATTGGAAATCTGTCTTTAAGCCTATTCCTAAGCAGTAGACCAGTGTACTGAGGTCTCTAATGTACATTCTAGCTGCTGTTGCCAGAGGAGTTCTTCCTTGGCTCACCAGGCAATCACAGACCATTTTGTAAATGGAATTTAGAAACAGAGCGATTGGAGTTTGAATTGTACCTATGTAATTTACTAGCTCTGTGACCTTTGTCAAATTATTTAGTTCCTTTTTCTTTAAATGTCATTATTGGAGTTACAGTCTCCAAAGTCGCCTAGTTAGTTACAGCCTTGCTGCAGATTGAGGGAGAAGGTTCAGATGAGGCTTTTGCTTTGAACATTTCCAGAATAACCCCTATTTCTCAGGACATGTAAACTTCCACCCCTCAACCTGGTTGATGTGTATTTTCCTTCCCTGAATTTCATTTGTGGCATATTCCCTTGAACATTTGATTCTTACCCTCAGCTTATCTGTGCTTACCCCAGTTCCATATGTGCCTGCCATCACATTTGCATGTAAATAGGAGAAAGGGTCTGCAGTTAATACCACGAAGACCTTCTCTTACGATATGGAAGTGCCTAAGCTGCAGGGTTTATGTGCTATTCCTGTTAATCATTCCAGTAGGCACTGATTTGAATTTACATAAGGCTTTTCGTTTTGGGTATATTTAGGTCTAAGGTGTAATAAGAGCAAGGAATTTAAAAAGGTCCCAATTCATGGTTGGGGTTTGGACAATTCTTATAGATCATGGCATCTGCTTGGGGAGCTTGTAAGCCCTTTGCAGTCACACTGACTTTGAGAGTATTTCCCATTTCAAAATCCCACTTCTGAAAGTAAAACTTTGTCATTTCCCTTCTGACCTTCCCTTGTTTTGCTGCAGATCTTACTCTAGCACCTCCATAGAAGAGGCCATGAAAAGGGGTGAGGACCCTCCTACGCCACCACCACGGCCACAGAAAACCCATTCCAGAGCCTCCTCCTTGGATCTGAATAAAGTCTTCCAGCCCAGTGCGCCAGGTGAATTTGCACCCCACCCCAACCCTTGCCCTTCCTGTTGGGACCAATGGGTCTGTGTTGACCACAGAGGCCTTTAGGTGTGCAGAGGAAGAGCCAACCTGGCCATTCCTCACCTCATTAAGGGCTTTACGTTGCTATGGCATTCCCCCGGGGTTGGGGGGAGTCAGTTCTAGGCAGATACATAGCACACATATCTGGAGCATTGCCCACACTTGCTATGGATCAAGAATTAGGAAATTTTGTAGCAAGTGGGTAAAAATGTTGCCACCCCAAGAACCCCTGAATGAGTGGTTGGGGTCTTGTTCTCAGCATCATGGTAATTCGTAAACAAAGTTGCTGCCTGTCATTTCCTCAGACGGCTTATGTAGTCCTTGTTTGAAAGACCTTGGTGATCAATGGCTTACTAGAACCTTCTCCTGCATTTATCCTTGTGGAGAAGATCATGTGTCCTGTAGGGTTTAATGCTAAGGGGGTTATAAATCTGAGTGATGGTTAGATGGTTGGTGGAGGGATCTAAGGCAACGGCCCCTTCAAGTGGGATGTTCTGAGGCTTCTGGATTGACACTTTGTTGAGCCAACTGCCGTACAGCTGGGCTGGAGGTGGGGAAGGCCAGAGGGACCTGTCTGATGCCCCCTGAGAATCCGAGGAACAGAAGATGAGAAACGTAGCTTTGCCTTAGTGAAAGTGATAGAACACAGCACCATCCCAAATGTTATTTTGGGAGCAACAAGGGCCTTTCCACTGACTAATGTAGGCAAGCTATAAATACGATTCTTTCCTGGAACTCTTTCTATATCTATGTGCATTTTAAATCAAGCCAGCGTCAGATGCTAGTGATTTGAAGATTATTATCTTTTTTCCTAAAGCGAGAAGAGACTCTCCTTGGCAGACACATTAACATGACCTCGGTGTCCGGGCAGAGCGCAGCATGTTTCATTTGTTCTAATAAAGTCCTCTCCTCGCAGTAAAGTTAGAGATTGTTTTTTAATGCACTAGAATCTGGAACTCCCTGTGAAATTTGATTCTCTGCCATGAGTTCATCAGGCAAAAATTTGCCTTGAATTTTCCCCTATACTTTGATCCAGATTCTGGTATAATTTCATAGTAACTGGTGTTTGGGGTGGGGGCAGCCACAGATGATGATGCTATAAAAATTTTACGTGGCGGCTGGATTATGACCTAGATGATTTTTATATGGATGCAAGAAGATTGAAACAGTCTGGGAAGCTATCTCAGTACTTCCCCCTTGCAAAGGAGGGAGGCTGGACAGTGTACACATCTCTCAGGTTGGCTAACCAGCCAGGAGATGCCAGCTGGGTTTGAGGACTAATGTCCTGGGGTTTTTAAGACATCCTATAATGTAGTGGAAAAGAGAAAACTGGAGGTGGAGCCCAGCTCAGCTGCTTATTAATGTTGGGTTTGGGGCAAGTGCTGTAGTCTTTCTGCATCCCAGAGTCCTACTCTGTGAAATAGAGCTGATGTTCCATGGCCTCGTTAGGTTTCAGGGAGACAGTGAACATAATCCAAATCACACTAGATTTGGCACACTCTCCCCTCTCCTTCTTTCTCTGTCTTCTCCGACCCCATGTGATCTCATTATAAACAAGGCAGAAATTATTAATGACTTTGTATCCGTATCTTTGTTGCTGGCTTAAAGGCTGTAGACATTCGAAGTGTAGATATACGTTGCCCAACTGCACTATAGAAAACTTGTACCTATCATTTTACCCCACCAGCAACATTGTCTGAGAGTGTTTCCTACCCACTTGCCAACACTGGTTAGTGTTACTCTTTTTAGTCCTTACCAATCTGGTAGGTGACAGTTTACATTTCACTGATGCCTAGTGAAGCTAATCATCTTTTCCTATCGTTTTTGGCCATTACTGTTTCTTTTTTTGTTTAATTGCCTGCTCAGAAAGCTCACGTAGCTTCTGTGGCTGCATCTCCCTTTGCCTAACCAGAGACCTCTTCACGTTGGCCTCTGAGCTTCTGGGCCTCTCTTATCTCAAATATTTGGGCCCAGAGGTGAGCATGGTGATGCCAACTTGCTGCTGCACTGGGTCATTGTCCCTCCAGCCCCTGTACCCCCTCCTTCTGCCATCTTTATCACTTAAGACAGACTGTACCAGGGCCCTTCTGTTTATAACAATAGAACAAGAAGTAAAGGTATAAAAAGAAGAGAAGAAAATGTGAGATGAAACAAGATGTGAACTTGAGTTGAAAGTGAAAGAGAAAAATGAAGCTAATGTTTAAAAAACGAGATTTGACAGGATTGTGAAAAACAGAGTGAATGAGGTTAAGTTGCCGAGACAGAGGGGCTTAAAGTGAAGGGGTGAGATGGAAATGAGATGCAAAGATGCAAGAATGAAAGAGGAAAATAAAGACAAAGATGAGTGGTTATTACACAGGAGTGAAGGTGTTTATACAAAGGAAGAGGGAGCAAACAGAATAAAAGACTTTAGACCCAGACGAGGAGAGACCACAGACTCTAGGGTTAGGGTTTGGGTAGGATTTCAGGTAATAACTTAGAAGTAGGCGGCGTTAATGCTTCCAAATTTATGGAGATGGGTAACACAACAAGGGGAAAAATAACAAAGGCTAATTTAGAATGTAAATCTATGAGAATGAACAAGGCCAACTTTGGAAGTGATGGGACAATTTGAAATCTGTGAAGACAGTGTGAGGGTGTGATTTAAAGGAGCCTAGACTACCCCAAGGAGTCCCTGGGTGGTGCAAACGGTTAAAGTGCTCATCTGCTAACCGAAAGGTTGGAATTTTGAGTCCATCCAGAGGCACCTCAGAAGAAATCCTGGTGATCTACTTCCAAACAATCAGCCATTTTTTGTCCTGTGGTACACGGTCTACTCTGACGCACATGGGTCATCTGGAGTCGATGGTGTCTGGTCTGGTCAGACTACCCCAGGGTTCTAGGTGCTGACATCAAACCGAGAGTATGGGTTTTCACAGGGAGTTCACCATTTGTAATAGCTGATCCGCATGTTGGACCCATCCCTTCACAGTCTCAGACATCTGCTGTGTTTTGAGCGGCAATAAAAATGTGCAAGAAAGTCTAAATCAGTGATGAGGCATGTGTACAAAACCCAGAGGCCATCACACCCGGGACTTGCTCAGTGATGATTAGATTTTATAGCTCTGTAAGTATAGCCACGAAATACCTTTTATTATTAAAATTCCTGTAAGAAAAGCACATTGTGAAGCCAATACTTTCTAGACCCAAACCTCCTTTTCCTCATGGAAGCAGTTGTTTTCACGAGGTAATTTTTTGATAAAAGGGGCTTCTTTTGTTCCACCATGCGGTGTCGGAAACTTCCCTTCTTCCACTCTTGATTCTGACCTGGCGCTTCCACAGGCATGCCTGAGGTTGGCAGCTTTGGGTTTCCATGGTGATGATAAGAAGCCTCTGTGCTGCCTTCACCGCACAACCCTGTCCCAGTCATTTAGCTTTCAGCTGGCAGAGGGGCAGAGAGTGTGTGGAGGAGATGGAGCCATTCCTTTAAAGCATCAGACCCTAAACTCTCATCACTGCCACTAGGAACTAACTGGGGAAACCTCATCCCATGGCTGAACCTCACTGCCAGGCGGCTGGAAATGGAGTCCCTTCCGTGGCTGGGCAGCCACTTTCTAGCGACACTTCTCGTACTGTGAAAGAGGAGAATGGATGTTGGCAGGACAGCTTTTTCCACCACACCCCATTTGGCCAAATACGTTGTGATTCACAATGTTAAAAATGTTGTCATGGCTGAAAAAACCACAGCCATGGGTAGTATCTGCCCATGGGTGGGTAATTTCCTAGCTCTGCTTTTGACATACTGATAATAAGAACTTTAAAAGGTCAGTCTACGGTTAAGAAATTCCAGTGCATCCGTACCATCTTATGAAGCTGTTAAAAAGAACAAGGCAGCTGTATATGTGTACTAGATGGAAAGATATCTGACATAAGTTAAGTGGAAAAGGCATGGTGTAGAGTACATATGTTTGTAAATGTATGAACAGTTTCAGAAAGGACAATTTCAGGAAGAGAGTGGTAACAGTGGTCGTCTGTGAGGAAGAGAAGAGGGTGACTGGGGACAGAAGTGGGAGGGAGACTGATTTTTCACTGAATACCCATTTATCGCTTTTTAATTTTGCATCATATGCAAATATTACCTATTACAAAAATTTTTTTTTAAAATTTTATACCTGCAATGACAAGGTGGTACCAGAGATGTCCTTCCTGGCTGAGGTTAACCTGTCTCAAACTTGCCTACCATTCTGTATCCATGGTCTCCTTATGACCATCTGCTACCACCTGCTAGAATGTAGCTAAAATGACAGAAAGCATTCCAGAGCATTTTTTAAGGCTCTGATAGTTTCTTTGGATTCCTTATTACCTCCTCAGTGCCCCCCACCAACATTGAAGAGTAGTTTTGGAGGACTTCCCAGGCCTTTACTGGCAGTTGTACAGTTGGGCAAAGTGTCATGGTAAGGGCTCAGCCTTAACTAGGAAGATAAGGTGAGTTTACTGAGCAGTGAACTGGTAAGAGTCTATTGTGGGTGGTCTACAAATGAATATTTCTTTCTACAACTTGAGAAATAGGTAAACCCCTTGGGAGAAGGAGATGTCCTCAAGACGTTCTGTATTTGGCTGATTGTTCTTCTATCTCCTGTATTTCCCATAAAATGGTAGATCTAGATTTGATCTGAATTGGAGTAGATTTTTGGCAAGAATACTTCCTAGTGATGTTGTGGACTTCCTATTGCATCACATTAGGAAGTCTCTGACGTGTAATGCCTCTTTTAGTGAGGTTTGATTGATCATTGAGTTCAGGTAGTATCAGCCTGATCTATCCGTTATGATAGTGATCCCCAACAGTCTTTCACATAGTGGTTTTATCAGCTACCAGTGATCATTGCCTAAATCCAGTGGTGTGTTGGTAAATGTTTAACAACTGATCAGTTGTCAACTTTCGTGGTGTAAACACTCATACCATGGCCAATT